TGTGTGTGTGTGTATGTGTGGTAAATGTGATTTCTGATATAGATCGGAACGTAGCGATTAATAGAGATCGCTAGAAAAATTCAGCGAAAAGAATTTTAGATAATTCTTTTTTTGTCAAAATGCGTAATTTTCTTCCTTTGACGAATGTTATACCGTTATTTCTTCGCGATATCTCCAGGTTTGAAAGAGGAACGTAGGCGCCCTGAGACATGCACGGTTAAGTGTACGAGCGCAAACCTATTATTATTCGCGTATATCGAACCAGCCCAACGGCTACTGTCAATGCCGATCGATCCCTGATCCTTCGTCATCCACCGTGCACTTGTATTTGCAATTCAACGTCAGTGCGCGAACACTGAAACTTCTTAGGTTCACTAAGATTTCTGGGATCAGCATCAGAAACACTGCTCGTTGACGATACAAAATGTCATGCCACCTTAAAATACGTCTGATTTTCACCGCGAGTATCTCACATCTAGACAAACAATCCTCAACAGAAACGAATTAGTCGACGATTTAATACGCTTTGACATGAGTTTAAGCTATGTATGAGTTTGAGATATATGATACAAAAATATATCACTAACAGATTTACTCCTGGCAAATAAAATGATCAACCAATGACTGAACCAATTAGCCGCACAAATTCTTCACAAGCGTGAACCATTTCTTTATCCAAAACGTCTAGATTCCTTCACAGTCTTCAGAAGTATTAAATCGGAGCGTCACATCGGGATAAATAAACACAACACGTGAACGCGACTGAATCTTCGCTGTCGTTGTGATGAGTACCTCACCGAATCCTTTGTATTCCCCACGCAAGGACACACCTTCCGAATCTCACGGTCACCGAGCCGTAAACGTCTCGCGTCCGGGAATTCTCTTTGTCTATCTCTCTCTCTCTTTCTTTCTTCCACCTCCGATGCTCTCTCAGGAGAGGAACGAAAGAATCGATCTTCAATAGATCCTCGCGCGGACCCTCGCGCCTTGCCGAAACTCGCGGGAGTGCGAGAGAAAACGGCGGTCTCCTCTCCTCTCGAGGTGGCTCCTCGGCGAAAAGCCGCCAGCCGGCTTCAGGATGGAACGACGATGACGACGACGAACGCGCGCAGCAGACGACCCTGAAAGTCGTCTGTGGACTTTCACGAACGCGAGCACTTTGCCGGTCGGAGTCACCACGAGAGTGTGCACCGGAGGGAGAGCGTGTTCCTCCCGCTCACCCGCCCCTACCCTTCTATCCTGTTGTGACCCCCCTGCTTCCAGCCGTCCGCGGGCCGTCCCCTTCCTCGCTGTACCCTCTCTACCCCGTCTCTACCGCGCCCCCCCCCTCTCTTTTCGTCCTCCTTCACACCGCCGCCGACTCCTTCGCCTCCTATTCACGGTCCTGTGGTCCTCCCTCAGGTGAGTACGATTCGATTCTCCCGTTAATCCATCGATACTTTGGGCAACCGCGAGATATGTCAAGCACGTAAGCTCGACCTCACTGAGTTCATTAGCCTCTCGTGGAGCGATCGATAAAGCCTGTGGAATCGATAGGAAACTTGTAGTAGAATTTGAAGTAGAATTTGCGTTTCCAAGAAAAAGGTTCGCTAATTAAAAGGAAATTCGAATTCCCTTAAGAGTTGAGAGCTTCGGAACATCAACGGCTTAATGCGAAATTACGGCGGAAAGAATTAATTGAGGCAAGAACTCGCCACTAAATTGGGCCTAATGACAGAAGCGTGTTCGTCAACGTCGCTATCGCAGGAAGTCAATCACGTTATTTTGCTTTTTTTTGACGGAGACAGAACGAGAGCGGAAGCATCGTTTCACTTTCAAGGTGTAGCCGAGCGTTCGCGCGGAAATTAATGGCATACTTCAAATGTGAAAGGAGCTAAATGCGAAAATATAGAAAAAAAAAAAAAGATACATAAAGTCTCGTTGTACACCGATACTAGGCCTCGCAAGTGGATCATCCGGATTACGCTTCATTAAAACTTTCCTCAGGTGGATTCTCATTTGTGGCGCGACTAGCTTAAGTATCAAGTTAAGAAATTAACAGATTCCCAGGGAGGAGTTACGCCGAGGATCAGCGAATTCCGAGAAATCAAGCCAAGACATTAACAGTTTAACTCGACGTTTAGCCTGCGGCCGATGAATCAAGAGCTTTGAACATTCGAGTGTGCCGCATAACGATTCTTCTCGTGCGCGCTGCGCGTAGAAAACGTAGCTCGCGCATAAAACTCGGAATATCTAGGCGGAGGTGGACGTTGCGGATACTCTTGCAGGAACTTCGAGAATGTCGTCGGCGCTAAAGGCGCCGCTATCCTCGTCGGCTGTGGTCCCGCAGCTTAATGAGACCTTAGCGAGTTCCCTTAATGGGACTGGCTGAATAAAAAAAAGAATAATATCCCGTGGAGAACGTTACGTAGCGCGTATTTACGTTCGCATCGAGGACAGTCAGGCGACAAAATCGCTGACAGAGAGAAAATTGGTAAAGACGATGAGCCGAGAAGAAAAGAAACGTCCTCACGCCGTACGATATATATACGTATATCGTTTTCCCCTTATCTTACAGAAATATTACGAGAGATTTAATGAAATCGGCACTGGCGTAGATTGTGATATGCCAGAAATGGAAAGTTGAAGCTGTTATAAGCAAGAACATTTTAACCCTCGGTGATATTTAGAATAAAATTATAAGGTAATTAATTTAATTACCTGTATAATATAAATATAAAGTAGCGGTTATAATTCGGATATGACAGGCAACTTTCAACTGTCAGTAAAATTATTATGATATTATAAACTTTTGATATTGTTAAAAAAATTTTTCAATATAAAATTATTATAAAAAATTGGTATCTGTAAAGATTCTACGAAAAGTTAACGAACGCTCCATTGTTAAAAGAGAGGAATCAGCCCGGGATCAGCCAGGGATCGTGAATCACCGCCGAATAAATGCTGATGTTTCATGACACAAAGAAAAAAAAGATATTTTCTTCGGCGAAACGCACAATTGAATCGTCCGTGCGCATCTAATCGCTTCTTGACCTCTGAGTGCATAAAATTTTACTCAAATCGCTGCGTGCCTCGTCTTATATTTCTTTTTATACATTCCAACATGCAAGAAAACAATCTTTTAATATACAAATCGAAGAAATAAGTAATATATATATGGAAGACCAAACGGCAGCTTTTAATCACTAATGACATAATAACAAAGAATTGATTTACATTCGTAGTTCTCTTTGAAAAATATTTCATTATTTTTTACGATCGCAAAAACAATAGATTCGGTGATTCGGTCATTCACCGATGCACTCATCTATTATATTTCCATGTAAACGGCACGCTACGATCTTTCCGTCCTATCGACAAGACAATGAAAGACCACGGCATTGCAACGAGCGAAATATCACCGCTCTCCGTTGCAGCGTGAATAATCGCTAAATTAGCTGAATCGTTGCTCGCGCGCATCGATGATTAGCTATCGCGGAATAATTTATATCGCGCGGCGGGCAGCGCAGTTTATGGCGATTAAAAGCTATCGCGGCGAGTCGATGCAGCCCGATGACTCTCGATCGAGCACGTTTCTTCGCCTCGTATCCAATTCGCGAAACGCGAACGCGCATTATTAATCACGCGTGTCCCATAAGCGGGCTTTCACTCTTGCGTCACACTGCAAAGCCAGACAATCGGCCCGTGCCTTCATATATCATGTCTCTCGTTTCGTGCATCGGAGAGAGAGGACGTGCAACAACGACACGATATGATATCTTGATCAATTGCTCGCGATGCGTCCTCGTCGAGTAATTCATTAAATCGTCGCGCGATTGCGTGAACGCGCGGCGATATCGATATCGAAATCATCCTGATGGGAGTTCACCGATCTGACAATAAAATCTCAGCGCATCATGCCGTAATAATTATCGCGGCTCTCGAGACGATTAATTTTCCGAGGTTCGGAATTAATTTATCGCGTAATTAATTTATCGCGGGCTTCCAGTATCGCGTGGCGTTTCGCGAGAAATCGCGCGGTCGATCGAGGTGAACGTTAATAGCCACGATCGCTCACCCTCTCTCATTCTTCTCGTGAAATTTTTATAAGAATTTTAAAACTCTAGATAAAGAAAGATCCTCAACGGTAACGTTTTATAAAATTTAAAATATTCTTTGAAAAGGGAGAGAGAGTCGCCGATATTTTATCTTTTTTTTATTCCAATTTAACAAAAAAAGAGCGAGAGAGAGAGAGAGAGAGAGAGAGAGAGAGAGAGAAGTTAAGTTTA